TGCATAATGCATTACATATTCCTTAATTGAAAAATAATTTGATTATGAATTTATTACTTTTGTAGATACCTGGAGCTTTTGGGTATGTCTTTTCTATTCAATGAGAGACATTATGCTGGCACAGTGCTTGTGAAAATCGTAGTTCAGATCCTATTGGATGTATGAATACTTTCTACTGCGGGCGTCAAACTACTACTTCAAGAAATACAACATTTCTAAACAAGCATTGCCCGTTAGATACTCCAGATGGTGCCTCGCCACCATTTAATTTTGGAATATTTCTCGATTCCCTTACGAATCATAATTCAAAACATATAAAGTTCGGAAAGAAGTTCTTTTACTCTTTTTGGTGGTGCTCGCGAAATCTATGGTACATAGTATATCTATTGACAATCAACAATTTATTGAAAATGTAGAGTGTGTATAAAACAACCTTTTTTTTTTTTAACTGGTAATTTAGGAGTAATTTTTCGGTGTACCCGGCACACCAAATTTTTTTGGTGTACCCTCACTCATAATGGTGAGGGTGCACCAAAAAAATTTGGTGCACCCTCACTTTTTGTACACCAAAAAAATTCTAATGAGTGAGGGTACACCAAAAAAATTTGGTGTACCCGGTACACCTAAAAATTTTTCGTAATTTAGGAATTAGATTTTGTGTAATCTATATTATTTATTTTTGCAAACATTTCAATGTTAGAAAATTTAAATTCTAAACAAAAGAAATTGTTGAGAAAATTGAATTTTTTTCATGGATTAGTGAACAAATGGATGGGTAATATGGGTAATTATAGAGTTTTGGCGAGTTTTGTGTTGGATTTGAATTGGATTAATTAATGATGTGATTTGACCGTTGGATTTAAATTTAAGCCGGTGGATCGTTTTTATTACTGTTAAAAATGATTAAATTGAATTTGAGCCTTTAGATTTAAAAGGGATGTATCTGGAGCGTCATACTGGATCAGAACCCAGGAGGCGCCCCGCCAATGTAAAGTGTAGAACCCCTGCTTGTCGTGCGGCCCGCAGAGAATTCCTCTGTCCTGGGTTGCTGACTGGCGCGGGCCCCGCGTGGGCTGTCCTGGCCTTTGTTGCTGTCATAACGTCGGCTCTTTTTGCCTAACAAGACAAAAAGAGCAACTTCTTGTCCAAATCCTAGGCATCCCCTCGGATCAGGATCCTCTCCCAATATAAGGATGAAGGTCCTCATGATGAAGGGATGTGGGCTGTTAAATGAAAATTTAACGGTTATAATTATTATAACTTTAAAGGAATCTCTTTATTTGTAACCGTTGAATTTTCATATAACGCCATACATCCCTTGATCATGAGGATCCTCATCTTTAGATTAGGAAAGAATCCTGATCCATCCCCCTCACCCGGTAAAACCAAAAAAACAACACTAACTACTCCAACTTAATCAACACCTTTGTTTTATTTTCTACGTCGGTGGTGGGTCACCGTGAACCCCTCAAATAATTGACAAATAAACCTGCATTTTCCACTTTGGTGGGTCACGCTGGACCCCACAAGTAATTAACATATAAACCTGCGTGCTTGTCATTGTGCATCTATACTATTTGGTTCCAAGAAGTGATGAACCAGAAAGTTGAGAGTTGAACAATGTTTCTAACTTTCTACATTATCTTCGAGAAGATGATATGTAATTTTTTTTATTTGAAATATGTATACAACATTATCTACGCTAAAAAGTGAGAGAATGTATTAAGTCTTAGAATGAGATAGCAATATAATTTGGTTCAAATTCACCTATAATAAGAACCAAACCTAAGACATATTAATTATAAATAAAGAAGAATATCGCTAAATTGTAATGAAAAGCTATATTCTAAAATTACTTTAAATTTCGAATTTACTACCCTTCAGTCTTGTTCCCTCCTTTTATTCTAGTCGTTCAAAGCATTTTTAAGCTAATTCAAAGTTCAAGATTATGCCAAAACTTACCATAAAAAAAAATAATGATAATATAAAAAAAAAACCCCACTAATAAGATGGTAGGACCCACAAAGTGGCTAATGATGAAAGAGAGGAGTTTATTAGTCATATGATGTGTGTTTGATCTCAACCAAAAGAACCAAAAAAGTTGTCATTTTACCGTAATTATTTCTATACACTTTGATGAGTTGGGCCTCTCATTATTACTTTGGCAACGGATTTGCGCTTTTATTGTAAAATCAAAATTTTACTCTTATCAAAATTTTCATATTATATTCATACAATTTCTCCAATGTATGTGAGATTCAATTATTCGTGAGTCTTATCTACTAAATTATTAGACCATGCATAATGCAAAATGACTTGCGTCATATAAAAAGACAAACCTGATTGACGACTTGGCTTTTCATTTTATGGAAGGGATGTGATATCCACATACCTCATTTTACTTCTCACACATCATTTTAATTTTCAACCGTTGGATCGAATGAATTGAAAAAGATCAACGGACAGAAATTCTCAAGGGTGTGTGAGAAGTAAAATGAAGCGTGTGGATAGCACATCCCTTCACGGAAACAGTTGACGACTTGACTTAAGTAGTTATTATCTTGCTATGATACAGCTGGCGGTAGCTAAAAAGCCATTTCAACTGTTAAACCCACCAAACGAGCATATGAGTCAATATTTTTCTGATGTTAATTTGATGTTATTGTCCTTTGTTTAGAAAATTGCTTGGCTGTTCCCACAGGCGAGCAATTAAACCAATGAAAGAGACTCTGATATTTTGATGCACTTGAGGGGACAGATGTGCAGCCAACGACCTACATTGCAGATGGAGGAAATATAGACCATTCATATCTTTTTTTTTCAGTAAATGGACGCCATATTTTCATTAGAAGCTATTAATAGGCTAGATAATACAAGGAAATGAATCTTCTTCCTCAATAAGATCACAAACAATAGTAGGAGCTTCATCTAACCAAATACAGTCACACTGGAGTGGAGTGGAGAGCAAAACAAGCAAGTCTATGAGCAATGTCGTTGGCTTGGAGACGGATGTGGGTCGCAGCAGCTCTAGCGATTAATGACAACAAATGCTTTACATCTTCAATTATAGGTCCCATTAAAAAGGTTAATAGAACCACAAGAAAATGTTTCAAATTGAGTGTCAAAATAGGTATCCTCGGATCCTATATATATATATATTATGTTAAAATTTAGGGACATACGCTTTTGACAAATATTTTGTAATTATTTCAACAATCCAAACAATTTATACTTTAGTACAACATTCATAGACCATCCTTACAAAACATTAGACAAATTCAAAAACCGTTAAGAAATTCATTTGTAGTGAAAAAAAAATAGACTAATATGGTTCTACAAAGAAACACTAAATTTAATCCAACGGTTATATAGTTTCAGATTTGAGTGATTTTTAGTATACATGATCATTGAGGTATGACACAAAGAAACACTATATATATTGACACATTTTTTTCACGATAAATTTTATTTGAACCCATATAGTAGCACTCTTCACCCAACTTTACACCAAATTAAAAAATAAAACCAAAATCTAATGTCGAAACAGATGAGAACACGGAAAGGCGTTAGAGGAATTCAAAAACATTTTTGCTATTATCCAACGGTTTCAACTTTTTTATATTTGGATTCGTGTTTGGTTAACAGAAAAGTTTCTCTTACCAAAAAAGAAAAAAAAAAGTTTCGATTTGTTGTGTATTTTGACATTAATTGAACAAGCAACATGTGGTGCTATCTAAGCTTGGGACTTGGATTCATATTTGGTTTTTGGATTGTGTTCCTGCTGGTAAAAATGTCATGGAGCATTCTTGCTATAATTTTTGTCTATTAGATTGTCTTGTACACTGCATGAGTTGATTTTAACTGCCGAATACTAAAAGTTGGGTTATAATAAAATCCGGATGCCATTATCGCTTGAATCTTTTCATCTGTGTATTTTCGGGGACCTCACCTATTAATGGGGGATTTCTGGCAATGCTTTATTATATTATATATATGAGATGCGCTAATGACTGCCGGCTTTTCTTGCAGTCCTTTGATAACGGATATTGTTTGCTATAGTAAAGCAAAGAGGGCATTGTAACAGTTGGCATTGGTGGTCCAAGTGGTTCTAGTAAAACAAGGCATGTATAGTTTCCTATAGGCAAAGAGCAGGAATGATCGTGTTTGTTTGTGTATTTTTTTTTTTTTTTTTTGGGTTTTTGAACGATCAATATTATCTACGTTAAGGGGAGATTGTGGGCTTAGCCTCACAATGAGCTATCAATAATATGGTTTAAATTCGTTTTTGGCGAAAATCGAACCTAAGCCCTCTCACTTACCAGTGAAGATAAATACTACTAGACCGTAGAATTAAGTGGCAATGCTCGTGTTTGTTGCATTCCTAATCTTTATTGGAATCTAAATGTTTACTGAATCTTACCATAAAAGGTGGCATATTCTGTCTGCACTGTTGTGTCGATGGCGTATTGGGATGAATGAGGATCTTTCCGGATCCTCTTTGTGAGGATCAATCGTGTCTATTTATTGTATATCGTGCGGTTAGAAATCATTTTAAAATTTTTATTTAAAATTAAACACAAATAATACCTAACGAAAACTAACCGCATGATTCACGATAAACGGATACGATTAAAGGATCCTTTAAATCCTCACAAATAGGATTCGGAGAGGATCCTCATTCATATGCAATCTACAAATAATGAAATAGAGATTTGGACGGTTTGAATTTTTGGCAAAATGTTGTGGAGTGGGCTCTCAGAAAGTGTGTCAAAAATTGGCCTTATTAAGGTGAGAGAGAAGAGGGAAGCATATGAAACTATTATATTTCCGGAGAGCACATGATGCATGAGTAAGAATTTAATACTCTATCTATTAAGATATTAAATTATGTGCATAATGCAAAAAGACTTGCGTCATATTAAAAGACCTATGTCATATTAAAGGACTTACGTCATACTAGAGGACTTGGGTCATGTTAAAAGACCAACTTCGTATAAAAAGACATTGAATTCAGTTGTCTTTAAGAGAATGGCAATGCAGCTAGCAACTTCAGTTTCTGCCACTAAACTCACATGCTAGCTTCTGCATGCTGTTCTCTCGCCACCTTGTAAACTGAAGATCTCGTTGTAGCTTTATTTAAGTAATCTTCTTTACTCATCATCAAGGTCATTGAGTACATATATATTTGAGTTATTATGGGTAAAAATGTCGAGGAAAGAAATTCAGATGTGGAGAACCAGGTAGAAGAGAAAACAGACAGGTTCGTACTCTCTCTGCTCTCTACTCTCTTTTTAAGTATTTCGAATTCTGAAATTAGCATGCTCCTATCTGTCTCTCTCAAAGTATAGCAATGCACCATGATCGCAATAATGTTATTTTTACCATCTAATTGTATCATCTCTTTAATAGAGATGAGACCCACATGTGTTAATGAACGCTAATTCTATTAGAAAGATAATACAAATGATTGTAAAATTAAATTGTAAGTGTAGCACTGTCCTTATTATTTTCCGTTACATGCAAGGACAGGTACTTCTTGTAGCGAACGTCGTCTGAAATGCACCTATATGACAATCTGATTTTTGTCTGATTTTATCTTGTTTAATTTGTTAGGTCGAGGCTCATATTAGGGTTTAGGGTGAATGCATATGAATTTCATTTGTTGCGTGTTTCCCAGAAATGAACGTTCGAAACCAATGGCTGGAAATGAGACGAGTGCCCAAAAACCGGAAGATGAAGGAAAAAATAGGAGAAAAAAAATAAAGGACATTTTTACTGTGCATCAGGCGCCTTACCTTCGAATGTGGAACATCATATTTGTGATATCATGTGTATTTGCTGTCTCCATGGATCCTTTGTTCTTTTATGTTGTAATCATCGATCAGGATAAAAAGTGCCTTCAAATGGATAAAACGTTGAGAATTGTTGCTCTTCTTATGCGATCACTCACAGATGTCATTTTCCTGATGCATTTTATATGTGAAATTTGTGACTCTGTTCAAAAGACAAAATCGGAAAGAAACTCAGGGACTGGTGTGGATGGGCCACCCTCCAAAACAAATACCCTAAAAAATGGACTCTCCGCGGCAGTGGAACAAACCAGGAGAAATTCGAGTAAGACAATGGAAACAAAGCCGAGGACTTCCAAAACGAATAAAAATGGACCATCCGCGGAGGTGGAACAAACCGGGGGAAATTCGGGTGAGAAATCGAAAATCAGAGAGTTGATTCAATATGCCAGGGAAATGGCTCAGAATATGTCGTCGTTATCCATCATATTAGACGTTTTAGCTCTTCTTCCCCTCCCACAAGTAAGAGAAATTAACTAAACTCTGATTTTTGTTTTTGTTTTTGTACGTAGTTTGCTGAAATTGATGGACTTCTATGTTCTAACCCCTTATCTTTTAATTTTCTGCAGCTGCTAATAGTGTTTTACCCAATGAAACGCTCAGGATTTGTGGAACACCAAAAGGTTGTGAATGTGTTTTTTCTCGGTCAATATGTTCCGAGGATTTTTCGAATTCACCTGTCGGCCAAGGTATTCAATAGGAGTAATGGGATATGGGCTAAGAGTCTATTCAACTTGTTTCTCTACATTCTTGCCAGTCATGTAAGTTTAACCTTAATTGTCATTCTATTTTAATTCATTTGTATTATAATTATTAATATTGGATTATGGATGTAGCTTTTTTGAAAGTGGATAGTGTTCAAATATAACTCATTTGAATTAATCATGTACAATGTTTACAACCTAAGTAGGGTTTGAGAAAACTCATGTGGTAGGAAATTAGGAATCTTAATTTAATTACAATTGACATATATTTTTTCAATCACAGAGAATATTCTGTATTAATTAATTCTATTCTTATAAAGAGACTAATTATCTAGGGTTTTGTGTTTGCATGTTATGAATTTAGGTACTTGGAGCTTTTTGGTACGTTTTTTCTATTCTACGAGAGGTATCATGTTGGTACGAGACTTGTGTAAATCGTAGTATAGATCTCAGAGAATGTACGGATGCTTTCTACTGCGATAGTCGGAGTACTACTGCAAGAAATATAACACTTCTAAACGAGCATTGCCAGTTGGATACTCCAGATGGTGCTTCATCTTCATTTAACTTTGGAATATTTCTTGATTCACTTAAGAATCAAAACACGGAGCATAAAAAGTTTATCAAGAAGTTCCTTTACTCTTTCTGGTGGGGCCTGCGAAATCTAAGGTTCACAGTATATCCATTGACAATCAACAATTTCTGGAGAATATGTAACAAATACATTTTTTGGGGTTATCTAATTCTGCAACATTGTCTAATGTGATATCATGTACCTACAATATTTTGCAGTAATTTTGGGACGAATCTGACAACAAGTACGTATGTCTGGGAAAACTTGTTTGCAATTCTTATTTCTTTCATTGGCTTGCTACTGTTTTTATATCTCATCGCCAATGTACAGGTTGGTATATACTGAATCTCACAATATATCAGTTTTATTTTTCAATCGTTTTTCTTTAGGTCCCGTGTCGTATACAAATACTTGTGAAACGGTGGGTAAATTCAAAATCCAATTTTGTGAGGTATTATTAAGAATAGGACACTTTTTAAAAATAGGTACTATTATCTTTTTATTAAATTTGCGACAAAACAGAAAATTTTAAAGAATTGTAATATCTAAATCGTAAGAATTAAATCCCTTAAATCATGCTACATTCAATCTTTTTTACTTATTTAATATATACACATCATATATTTTTTTGTCGATAATCTACCCATATCATATTTTTTGCTTGTGATCCACCTCTTCAAAATTAGTTGTATTAGATTCTATCTTAAATATGTTTGCTTAAAATTGTATAATCTTGTCATGATATAGATATGTTACGATTGGATTCAAATTAAAAAAAGAGCTTAGATATTTGGACCTGAACCTAACTGTCCCATTTCAAATTATATAAGATACGTAAGTTCTTTGGTGAAACATGCCTTTCTGGTATGTAGCTAGCTAGGACATAGGAGATCATGGATCGAGCTTATGAATGAATTCTACTTGTGGTGAGGCAGACTTTGATACAGATGGAGGCTACAAAATCGGAAGAGACAAGACGAAAGATTGGGATAAAGAAGGTAGATGTACGCACGTGGATATCCGTAAATAAATTCCCTGATAATATCAAGAAAGAAATCGAGAATAGCATAGAGCAAGCATGGGTAAAAGACAAATATGCTGATGTCCACAACCCATTCCTTATTCTTCCCAAGCAAACCAAAGACTCTGTAAAATGCCATCTTTTCATGGATACACTTAGAACAGTATGTTCTTCAAGACTCGATCTCTCTCCATTTATTAATTGCTTCCATTTTCACAGCAATGTTGTTCTGGTGATAGGTAAAAGTGCTTAAGCACATGGATGAATATGTGTTGACGCTGCTGTGCAACTATCTAAAGCCAATGACGTACAATGAGAATAGCTTTGTTTTTCGAGCGGGAGATCCACTCGATTGTATGGTGTTTATTATCGAAGGGACAATGTGGACCTACGCATCGAGTGATAGTCAAGTTGGGCGAGGAATCTCATCAATGGCCATCAAGCGCCTCGGGAAATGTCAATTTTACGGGGAAGAGCTTCTGGATCGGGCATCAGACTGCTTCACAGAACTTCCAGTCTCCAGCAAACATGTCAAAAGTCAGACAAAAGTAGAAGCATTTGTGCTCATGGCCAAGGACTTGGAAACTGTAGTCTCCAGATGCCCACTACAGTGGGAGAACGGCGAAAAGAAGGGTTCTCAAGAGGTGAAGGACATGGCAGCTTCTACCATAGCAATAGCATACCGTCGCAAGGTTCTAAAAGATGTTAGACCTTACTCAAGCGGCGTGTTGGGGCCTAGCGCTTAGGCAGTTAGGCAGAGTCTAGGTGGATGACATATATATTATAAAGTATTGGAATATAACGAAAACATGAGGAACAAACATATAATATGTGTTTATTTGAGTGTTTAATAAGTCCCTTACAATTTATTAGAAACAATAAAATGCAAAAGGAAAGTTATCTATTTTCTATCTAAATGAGTTGCAATCTAGGCAGGTGTTTAGGCGGGTCTGGATGGGCTAGGCGGGTGTCTAGATGGTCTAGGCCGGCGCCTCAGCAGTTCTAGGTGAGTGCCTAAGTAGGTCTAGACCTTTTTGAATTGGACCTCCTTAATGTTGTCTGCGACTCTGGTATTTATAGAGACCTGCATGCTCAAGTCGTGGAAACTAATCCCAATTGCATTGTGACTTGGAGTCTTTATCTGTTGCTAACCCCACACCTTATCACATCAATCAAAACCTATTGTCATCTTGGGAACCTGACCTTCCATCAAATTCGGCTTTCAAAGATTTATCCTTATGCAATCTTTTTTTGACTAGATTATTGGCAACATTCAATGTATATTGTTGTTTTGACCATATAGGAAAACAAAAGAATATTATTGTATTCCTTACCACCTCTATCTTTCGCATGCCCCAAGAGAGACCATGTCCATTTCAACTTATACCTCATTTCAGACGGCACCATGATTACCACTTTTTGATGATAATCATCACCAACTCTTTGCTTGGTCAAGTTCCAACTTCATCCATGCAGAACATGCTAATCCCTTTTAAGTGTCTTTGTGCTGATCACTCCACGCAAACATGAATTGCATGTAAAGTCCCTCACCCACACACATATGCATCATGCATGGAAGAAAATTTGTAACACCTCGGAATACAAATCAAACCAGCTAGATTTTAAGATCAAACCAAGTCAAAATAATTTAACATATTATTAAGGAATATTATCATGTCTAAAAA